GTTAGATGTTACTAATTAAAAGATGTGAAGACGTGTTTCCCACTTGTCTCCTACGTCCTTGACGAGTTCTATCATTGTCATAAAGTCTTTGCCAAGTCAGGACTGTGAGGTGTCTCTGTCTCCCTACCCTCTTGTCTCTTCTTCTAGGTTCATCAATTTCATCACAGTAGACAGAGAACATTGAGAAACACTTCAGTTCAACAGATTCATGGTGGGTATTTGATGGTTTGTTAAGTGATAAGTTATGGAGGGACAATATTAATAATGAACCATTTTGAGAAATAAAAAGTTACGTTACTGCTGTGACTTGTTGGAGCTCAACCGCTGTAGGAAAACCCTCCTGTGGCAGAGACGTTCTCTGCTCTTCAAAATGTCCTTGCATGTCTGTACCCACACAGTGTTCCTCGGCTGCATCATCCTGTGTTCTCATCAGTTCGGCCTCTGTCTCCATTTCTTTGCTTCTATCCATGATGTCTCTTTCTCTTCTATTAAATCTCTGCTCTAGGACATTTCTTCGGTCTCGGTGGCCGTCTACTCTTTCCTCCTGCTTGTTTTTATTTTCACCGGTCACTTCCTCAGTCTCTTCCTCTGTAGAAACATCTACTGATGGCATGTCGTTGTCTCCACCCTGAGCCCTTTCATCTTCTCCTGCGTGTTTTTGTGCATTACCAGTGCTTTCTTTTACGTCACCTTTTTGCTCGTCTTTTGTTTGACTACTTTCAGCTGATTCCTGATTGCATCCTTTCCCCTGCATGTTCTCTAAAGTCAACGTCAACATGCTGCTGATAATCCTGTCCAGTTCAGCGTCTTCATCTTCACTGCTTGTTGCCGATCTCCATTTCTCTTTTCGGAGTTCCTCCTTCGATGACTTTTCTTGTTCATTATACTCTGACTTCAACATGATCTCTTCTCTTTCTTCTCCTTCTTTTGCATTTCCACTCCCATCTTCACATACATGTTCCGTCTCAGACTTTTCTAAATAATATTTTTCTGGAGATGTTTCTTCGGTTTTGCTATCCGTCTTGATTCGATCATCCGTGACATTTTTAGTTGCTGCATTTTCACTGCACCACTTTTCATTTGTGTCTTTTGTTTCCTCCATGAGGTCAAACATTTGCACGTCCAAGTCAGCAAACGATTTTCTCTGCTCATCTCCAATCTCACCTTCTTCTGAGCTGGTGCTGCTTCCTGCTCTCTTCACCTTCATTATTTCTTCTTCCTCATTTATTGTAACTCTGTCAAGCTCCTCATCTGTGGATGAAAACTGAGCGGTGCTGACGAGACTGACCAAATCTCGTAGCTGAGCAGATGTGTGTCCCTGTAACTTCCACAGGATGTCCTCCTCTGTCCCTCGCTCCCTGTCTCCACGTCTTCCCGCCCTGTCTAACTCATCCTCCGTAGAAGAAAACTGAGATGCTTTTACCTGGTTGGCTAATTTACATAATTCCACAACCATCTTGTCATGGCGTCCATCCTCATCATCCACGTTCTTTTTTTCAGTTCCGACTCTGTCTAGTTCATCTTCTGTAGATGAAAACTGTGTTGCCTTCACTTCCTTTTCCAGTCGACAGAGTTTGAAGGTCAGTCCCTCACTCCTCTCCTGCTCTTCCTCATCTATTTCCACCTTAATATTTTCATCCAGTTCTACTTCACTCTGGTCAGGTTCATCTAAATCATAGGTAGACAAAAAATAAGCCAGTCGGGATTTCTCAATGAGTTTATAAAACCTGCACTTCAACTCTTCATCTATGTCTAGATCTCCTTCTCTTTTTGGTTCATCCTCCATTCTGTCATCATCAATTTCCGTTTTCCTATCTTCCTCATCAACGTCTTCCCATCTTTTGTTTCTCTCTTCATTGTCTTCCTTTGGTGCCTCCCAGTCTCTGTCCGGTGGCTCCTGTGGTTTCAGTCTGTTCTCTTTGTTCGTGTCAGTCATTCCAGGCCCAGTCAGGTCACAGTCGGGTTCAGGTACAGGTGTGGTGCCTTCAGAGGTCAAAGTATCAGATGTTGCCGCATCAGGAGAAGACTGGGAATGGGCGTTGTTTTTGATTGAATCCTGTGAAAACAAATTAGTCAACATTTTAATTATATGTCGTGTTTTTTTTACGAGGAAGTTACAAATAGCGTAAAATTTAGGGTGGAAAGTCAATACTTGACTTTTCCTAAACCCTGACAGAAGCCAGTTTGGGACTAGACTAAGAATCCTATATTGTCACTGGTGTTTGAGAATAAACTACAAATGTTCAGTTTCTTACCACTGCATAAGTCACTGGTACTTTGTTCTTCCTGCTTTTTCGTTTCTCTTTCCATGATTTCCTCACTTTTCCAACTTCAAGCTCACGTCCTACTTTGCCCATTTTGTCCTCAGTATCTTCCACTTCCTCAGCAGTGAAGTGGACATCGATGATACTCGTCCTTCTGGATGCTGACGGTCGCCTGAGCTCTACAGGCACCTTCCTTTGAAAAAGGGCCAGCAGGGCCTTGTTAACTTTCCTGTTGCCCTCTGAGTCTGACAGCAGATCGTCTCTACTGCTCCCACAGCTCGTTCGCGGTGAGTGGACGCTCTCCAGATTGTCCTGCAGCGCGAAGTTACTTCCTGTCATCTTCCTATGGATCTCCTGAAGGGCGGCCCCCCAGGAAGTGTCAGGATGGAGTTGGGTCTCATTGTCAGAATCCATGCCTTCGTAGGCGGACACCACTCCAGACTCTCTCTCCAAAGCACTGTAGACCTGACTCTTCCTCTTGGTCAGCAGGCTGGGATGAGACCCCTGAGCACTCTGTAGGGCAATCCAGTTCCCGTCTGGGCTTTTCAGAACTGATGACACCCCTTCCCCAGTTGTGCAATTACAGACACCCATAGAATCAGAAACAGACAAGCAGAGTAAACCTGTCAGATTCATTAAATACAAAAAAAAATTCTTTCTGTCAGGACTGCACAGAAACGACTGAACGACAAATTATTCCTAAATGTCAGAAGTTTTTTTCCCCTCCACTTTCTACAGTTTAAGGAGGAGCAGAAAGT